TTTATTTTTGTACAGTATTCCTCGATTTATGACGGTAATGGAGACTGCCCATTATTGTGGTAAGTCGGTCGTGAAGCGGGTCATCATGGCACCAATCCAATTTTATGACCTTGTTTTGATGCAGTTGTAAAGTGACTGCTGCAGTCATTAAGCGAACCCATTGCTTGCTAGGGGGTGTTTTGCCAAAAAACCCCGGGACATAAAAGCTAGTTTTCAGCAAAAACATTGTAAATCATGGTCATGTGCCTGATGCAAACGGCCATAAATTCAAGCCAGTTGCCAAGGGCCCGAAATGCAGTCTTGTGGGTGGGTGCATTGCAACTAGGTTTTAAGTACTTTTGAGAGGATCCGTCATAACTTCAAAATGGTTCCTAAGTGATCGGTTGTAAGTCAAGGACTACCTGTAATAGCAAACTTGCAAGATAGGCTGAATTGAAAAACCAGGATTGGCCGTAAACAGAGAGAAGGAGGGTCTTGATCTGCTGGACTCAGTCCAATACCTGCCAAAGCCTCCCAGTTAGACCTGGACAAACTTCATGGCTTCTCAATCACATGGGGATCCGAGGGTATCTTTTGCACTGACCACGTACACTTGGGGCAAATGAAGCAATCCATAAGCATTCTGCGAAGGACAAAGTGAGGCTCACAAAAGGGAATATTCAACTTTCTCTCAAATTTGCTTTCTTTAGGTCTTCTCTTCAGTGGGGGATTATTTGGGGTGGGTGGGAGGAAAGGAGGTTTCCCGGATCCAATATGCATCAAGTCCAACCAAAAAGATGGGCCACAGGTGAAAGGCGGGCCAGGGAAGGTAGGTGAAATTTCTTCTGCTATCTCCTCCCCATACTGTAGAAGAAAGTGGGCCAAGGGCAGGAGACTACAAGGCCACCGACCGAATCTTCTGCCCTGTGTCTCCTTGACTAGCATTTTTATTGGGTTGCTGGTGATTACATTAAATGTTTAAAGGGTTCTCCCATGACGGTGGCCGTGTCCTGGGGTCACGGGATTCCCTTTTGTGACCTTCTGACAAGCAAAGTCAAGGGGGGAGCCAGATTCACTTAACAACCGTGTTTCTAACTTAAGTGCTTTTTCAAATGCCCGAAGGACCTTTTCCTCTTATTGCAGAGCATGACGGGACATTGGGAGCAAACGTTAGGCACACTCTACCTGAAAGTACCAGTAATGAATTGTGCGGCTGTGGGAAAAGAAAGGGTTAAGGTTAGAGCAGGGTCTTTTGCTGGAGGTGTTCAAATAGGGCAGAGTTTCTCAATCTTGGCAACTTTTAAGAGGTATGGCCTTCAACTCCCAGAATTCTCCAGCCAGCAGTTGGGGTGGTGGGCAAGTGCAACAACAGTTAGATAGCAGTATTCCAATATTTGAGGGACTGCCACAAAGAAGAGGGGGTAAAATTATTTTCCAAAGCACCTGAAGGCAGGACAAGAAGTAAGAATTAAGGAGAAACTTCCCAACAGTGAGGACAAACAACCAGTGGAACAGCTTGCCTCCAGAAGTTGTGGATGCTCCATCATTGGAGATTTTTAAGAAGAGACTAGACATTTATCTGAAATGGTATAGGTTCTCCTGCTTGAGCAGGGGGCTGGACTAGAAGGTCCCTTCCAGCTCTATTCTATTCTAACCTGGCAACATGTTTGCCCTCCCACCTGTCCAGAAAGGAAAGGCAAAGTCCCACCCTTCAACGTCTCTATTGAGGACCCAAGCTCTTCATCAGACTCATCCAATGGACCCTGCTTGGGATCAACCTCAAGAGCCTTTGGGCAATGTTGCCTCCCCTAAAGGGCAGCCGCCCAAGGAACTGGGGGTACAGTTCCACCAGTTCACTGCCAGCATCTGGCCGTTCTGCTTGCCAATCTAGGCAACTTCAACCAAAGCACATCTGCTTTCTCCCAGACCGAGGAAAACTGATCTTGGAAACCACTCTCGGATCACAACTGTTGCTTTAGTCTGGCGACTTAAGAGTTAAACCACAGCAAGCCTCTTATCCTATAGATGTAACTCTGCCCACTGGGGAAAGATAAATAACAGACATTAGACTCTTATGAAAAGCTGAGCCACTTGAAATTCCACAGTAGGAGATGGGCAGATCCAATTACACTACCATTTTGGTTACAAAGTGATCGTTATTTTGTTCTAGCAGAAAAGTTTAAGCCCACTTTTTTTCCTTCTTCTGATGGTTATGCAAAAGTGAGATGCCACATGAACCCACCACCTTTCACCCTGGAAGTAAAGAGCATCTGGACACTCATCCACAGCTCATTTAAAGAGAGAGAATCAGCGCTGGGTCACACAAAATGTTTTGGATCTCACCCTCCAAAAGTTGATAGTAAAAGTGCCTTATGCTCCCCCGCCCCTCTAGGTCAGTGATCAGAATCTTGACTTGACTTGAGCTTCAGAGCTGAGTCAGGAGCCAAGACAGGCTGAGTTATACCACGCAAGCACATGTCCCTTCCTGAGGCCCAAAAAATATCTCACATTCCTACACGCTGGAATCAAATTTCTGGAAGCTTCCTCAACCTTTCCTCTCAGAGTTGGCACACAATCCATCTTGAGAGAGAGAAAAAAAGCATGAGCATCACTCAGGCTTTACTGTTTCCTGAGCACAAGGCTGTGGGAATGGTAGAATCTGGACCAGCTCCCTTTTTGGATCTTAAATTTCCACCATGTTTAGAGTAAGCAACACATTTGCAGGAGTTCATTAGCTCCAGCAGCTTTTAGGAGCAATTGCACTGAGCAGGAAACATTCCAGGGTGGATAAATTAAAGTTCACCCACAAGGATCTGTACTGAAATACAACATAATTGAATATCGTGTTCCTATGCTGAGGCCCCAAAAAACAAAAGGTATACAGGTAGTCCTTGACTTATACCAGTTTGCATAATGACCGTTCATAGTTACAACAGCACTGAAAAAAGTGACTTCCGGCCGTTTTTCACACAACTGTTGCAGCATCCCCCTGGTCACGTGATCAAAATTCAGACACTGGCAACTGACTCATACTTATGACAGTCACCATGTCCAGGGGTGACGCGATCCCCTTTTACGACCTTCTAACAAGCAAAGTCAATGGGGAAGCCAGATTCACTTAACAGCCGTGTTACTAACTTAATAACTGCAGTGATTCGCTTAACAACTGTGGCAAGAAAGGTGGTAAAATGGGGCAAAGATCATTTAACAACATCCACCAGGGCCTCTTTCTCACCCCCTTCCCCTCTGTTCTGCCCCCCCCATCAACACTGCCAGCCTCCCTGAGAGCCAAACTTCAGGGGGGCTTTCTCAGCCTTTACGTTACCTTTCCTCCTCCGTGCAGAACCCTAAATACAAATCACCAAGAACCACATTATTTATGAGGCAACAAACGAAGGACCCTCAAGCATCTTAGTGAACTCTAAACATAAACCAAACACAAACCTGCAAAGCACATTTTCAAAAAAGGACTTAAAATCAGTAATGTGATTTTTCCCCCTACTTCCCTACACTGGCAGTTTCACAAACAATAACAAGAGAAGGGTGGGAGTGAGGCTATCGAAGTTCCTGAGCAAACAGAGTCCTGCAAAACAGGAAGACCATTCCTGGACTCCTTGCTAAAAACAGGAGAGGCGACATGCATGTCTGTGCCTATAGAAGTCACATGCACACACATGTGCATTTGTATAGAAGTCACATGCACACACATGTGCATTTGTATTCAGTAGGAAAATCTACTAGCAATTTAAGTAATATACAGGAGGGTTGGGGTTTATTCTTTCCTACAAAAAAATAAACAATTTATTAATATTTCAGAAATACTTCTCAAGAATCAAGCTTCAGGTTACAAACAGAACCAGTTGAAGCTTATTTTCAAATATGAGCATTCAGCCTATTTTTGGAGACACAATTATTCAGATAAATGGAAATATTTACACAAAACACATATTTCAGGAACACCCATTGGCTATGAAAGATACAGATCACTTACTAGTTTTCAGTACCACCATCAAATATCTGTTTCTTTTCTTTCCTTGTTAATTCTTAACGAGTTTGACAAATGCAGATTTCTGGAGCTGAGAGAGTTTGTTAGAATGTATTTTGTGTTTTCCCTGTCCTGACAGAATGCGTTATTTTGCACATGTTAACAGTACCAGTGCTGAAGGCATATAAACATGGGGACCTCTTGTTGGGATCAGCAAGTGATCCACAGTGCCAAGTCCATGTTAAGAGAGCCTGCGAGAGAGGAAGTACAAGTAGTCCTCGACGTACGATCACAATTGAGCCCAAAATTTATATTGCTAAGAGAGACAATTGTTAAGTGAATTTTGCCTTATTTTACGACTTTTCTTGCAACAGTGAATCACTGCAGTTGTTAAATTACTAACATGGTTGTTAAGTGAATCTGGCTTCCCCATTGGCTTTGCTTGTCAGAAGGTCACAAAAGGGGATCACGTGACCCTGGAACGCTAGCAACCGTCATAAATATGAACCAGCTGCTAAGCATCTGGATTTTGATCACATGATCGTGAGGATACTACAATGATCTTAACTGTGAAAAACATAAGTCACTTTTTTCAGTGCTGTCATAACTTTGAATGGTCACTAAGTGAACTATTGTAAGTCAAGGACTACTTGTATATTAACTAGCTTTTTCTTGTGAAGGCATTTTGATTCTTGTTATTTAACATTGGGACCACCTCTGTTGCTGTTTTAGTACACAAGGTCCCAAAGGTGCTTTTTCAAAAGGTGACTGGACTTTCTTGGTTTTGGCTCCAAGACGTTTCGTTTCTCATTCAAGAAGCTTCTTCGGTTCTCCAGAACCGATGAAGCTTCTTAGATGAGAAGCGAAACGTCTTAAAGGAAAAACAAAGACAGTCCAGTTGCCTTTTGAAAAAATGCCTTTAGGACAACCATGACCTGGGTGACTGAGAATCTCCATAGATGTTTAGTACACAAGGTATTTTTCTTCTGAAAGAAAAAAATGACATTGTAGTCCACACATTTAAAGATCTACCTACCAGAAAAGTCTCTGGTGATGACATTAGGCGAATTTGTAGCCTCCGTCTCAGTGTAGGACAATGTGGAATTTGAAAGGTCTAGGAAGCAGAGGAAAAAAGGGACATGTTATTTCCAAGATGGTCAATCATTTTACCATCCCAAGAAGCATTCCCACAAGGGCTGCCCAATGGTTCTGATTCAATTCCCCACAGCTGCCTTCACACCTATAGGAAGGAGCACTCAGGCGACTTGTCTACTTTCCCATAAAGCAGCCACATAGTTTCCAGAGATCCCAGAAAACAGCTGGAAGCAGAGGTTTTGCCATCTGAGGAAGGACACGGCTGCTTTAAAAAGGTGCAGACAGATTCTATACTTTAGTTCAAAAACACCTTTTTGGAGTCAAATCCAAAACACTGCACAGCTCTGGTTTGTACTGCAAAAGTCTTAGTTTGAACCGCAGGCATCATGGTTTATAAGAGCAAAAGTGGAAGGACAACATGCCTTTTTTCAGCAAACAATAGTTAAAACAGCTGTGGTTTAACGCACTTTGTGAACCTAGAAGCAACTGCTGCCTTTTCTGCTCCTGCCTTCTTGCCTGGCTGACTTTTAAGTAGCTCTCTTGATGAAAATATAGGAAATCAAGCCTTAATCCTGATTATGAAATACTCCTCTTTCTTTTTAGAGGAAGGAGCAAGAAAGATGGGGGGGGGGGAGAATGACCAATAATATACTAGCAACTAACCCTTATCTTTGCAGAGGCCTTTTTAAGAAAGCCTTTTTCAGCCTTTCCCAAAGGAAGAATTACTTCTTTCCTAGCAAGAACAAAACAGTAACTCTGGCTAGCTCTTAAGACATCAATAAGAGGGGGGGGGGAATTTACAGGTAGTACTTGATCATAACTGAAGCCAAAATTTCCACTGCCAAACATGACAGTTAAGTGAGTTTTCTCCTATTTTATGACCTTTTTTGCCACAGTTGTTAAGTGAATCACTGCAGCTGTTAACTTAGTAACTTGGCTCAATGAATAAGACTTTCCCGTTGATTTTGCTTCTTAGAAGATCCCAAAAGGGGATCACATGATCGCAGGACAACTGCAACCATCATAAATACGAGTCAGTTGCCAAGAATCCAAATTCTGATCACTTGACCATGGGGATGCTGCAACGGTTGTAAGTGTGAAAAACGGTCATAAGTCACTTTTTTCAATGCCACTGTAACTTTGAACAGTCATTAAATGAACTGTTATAAGTCGAGGACTACCTATAATACAGGTATTTCTAAGGAATTGCCCTGAGAAGATAGGTTCTTGGAAGTTATCGCCATAGAAAGCTGCCTTCTACAAGGTGAAACCATCAGCCTCTCTCTCGGGTGTGACTGCAGTTCACCAGGGTTTTTCTCCTCACCTAACCAGGGACACCAACAGCTGATGCGAATGAAGTGGTTCTTTTCTTCCAATGCACAAACAACACTGGCAAGATTTCGGCCTCCAAAATAACCCAGGTTGAGGGGATTGAACAAGTAAGAACTTGGAGCTCCATGGCTAAGGTTACACTAAGCCTCCAAACAACTCATTGTTACTATACTTAATTATCACTATTAAAATTCTTGAAGCTGTTTATTCTTGTTTCCTTCCTTCCTTCCTCCCCTGTAGAGACCAAGAAAACTTTGTTTTAACAAGTTAAAAGTCTTTTGTTAGTCTCTCCCTCTCTCCCCTTCACTTGTATCACTTTATTTAAAAAATGCTCTAAAAGCCGGCTCCAAAATCCTTTTCTTTTCCTTTTCTTTTCAATCCTGCTGGTTCAGAAAGCAAAGTTCCAATACATGAATTCAGAGTTCCCCGTCTACCAAGAACACCCTTACTATCCAGGGTGGAGACGATACAGGAAGTCCTCGACTTACGGCCACAATTGAGCCCAAAATTTCTGATGCTACCCGAGACAGTTGTTAAGTGAGTTTTGCCCCACTTTATGACTTTTCCGGCCACAGTTGTTACGTGAATTACTGCAGTGGTTAAGTTATTAACACAGTTGTTAAGTGAATCGGGCTTCCCCATTGACTTTGTCAGGAAGTTGTAAAAGGGGATCACGTGACCCCCAAGACACTCTGACCGTCATAAATATGAATGTTACCAGGTGTCTGATTTTGATCACGTGACCAGGGGGATTGCTGCAACGGTTGGAAATGTGCAAAATAGCTTTAAATCACTTTTTCCAGTGTCGTTGTAACTTTGAATGGCCAATAAATGAACTGTTGTAGGTTGAGGACTGCCTGTACTTGACTTCTTTTTTTGCAAATAAAAAAGTATCCACAAAATTGTACGACGAAATGCCATGCAGTCAGGAAGACTGATAATCCACTTTGTTATACCACTTTGTTATACCCTGGGACCTTTGGAGGACTGCCGGGCCACCACATTGTCCACTAGTCCTTATCTAGATTATTTCTGGATGACGGTCAGTACAACAAGGAGCCCAGCAAACTGATTGTAACCCATCCTTCCTTCTTCTTTTTCTCCCTTCACTTCTCCTACCTTCATTTATCTTTCCTTTTTTTTCATTTACCCTCGTCCCCCCCGTCTCTCATGCACACACAGACAAGGGAGGCCTCTCTAGAGGTCCTCTCTGGACTTCTGTGATTTTCAGATGCTCCAGGGATTCTCAAAGATCAGGGCCCTCTCACACAAATTCAAGAGGGTCGAGAGGCCTGGCATCTCACCCATGACACATGTGTCATAGGTTCACCATCATCATTCTAGATCAGGGGTCCCCAACCCCCGTCCATTGCTAAGCACGACAGTTGTTAAGTTAATTTTGCTCCATTTTACAACCTTTTTGCCATAGCTGTTAAATGAATCACTGCAGTTGTTAAGTTAGTAACATGGTTGTTAAGTGAATCTGGCTTCCCCATTGACTTTTCTTGTCAGAAGGTCATAAAAGAGGATCATATGACCCCCAGGACACAGCAACCGTCATAAATACACACCAGTTGCCAATCATCCATATTCTGATCAAGGGAATGCTGCAACAGTCCTAAGTGTGAAAAATGGTTGTAAGTCACTTTTTTCAGTGCTGTTGCAATTTTGAAAGATCACTAAAAGAATAGTTGTATGTCAAGGACTACCTGTATTGCCTGAGTCTATTCTAATGCTGAAACTAGATCTGCAATAGACTGAGGAGGCCTCCTTGTCTCTCGAAACCATTTTTGCTATGTTAGCTTGGATAATTCAATCGGTGCCAGGACCCTGCTCTCTGGAGCAGACCTTGACCAGAGTCTTCTTACTGACTTTACAATGTGTAACACTGAGTTTGATGCTGGATAGTTCTATATTCTCTGCACAATCCACAACAACATTGTACAAGTCTTCTATGTACTTCCATGTACTTCACTGTACAAGCCCTCCAAGATGAGGCGATCAACCTATTCTCCAAAGCACGTGAAGGCAGGACAAGAAACAATGGATGGAAACTAACCAAGGAGAGAAGCAACCTAAAACTAAGGAGAAATTTCCTAATGGTGAGATCAATCAACTGTGGAATAGCTTGCCTTCAGAAGAGAAGAAACCCCTATTCAAGCAGGGGTTTCAACTAGAAGACCTCTAAAGTTCCTTCCAACTCTATTATTCTATGTTCTATGTCTACGTTTTGCATCATCTTGCATTATATAAAGAGAAAAACCAAAGGCATCTATCTTCCTTTTGGAAAAGAGTCAAAAGTTGCCAACAAAATACAGGTCTCCAGTTGTGAACATAACACCTGGATCGCTCTTACTAATGCTTTGCAAACTGCAGGAAGAAAGTCTGGGTGGAGAACATACTTACTCAATGGCTTTTGCTCGTCCTTTGGAGACAGCCGGGAATAAGGAGGGGGTGGTGATTCTGAAAAAGAAAAAGGAGGCAAATGAACCATCATCCAAGCTTTCAGAAAGTGGGTTTCTATCTCAATGAAATCACTTCTAGTTGAACAAAGGATAGGATATTGATCAGAAGCTCACATGTATGAAAAGATATTACAGTTGACAGAAAGCAGAATAACAGAATCTACTTCCTTTGCCAAGCTGCAGGCCTTAGATGCATGCGAATCTCAGGGGCAGAAGACTTCCATCATGGTCCATAAATAACCCTCCTTCAAAGTTCCTTTGCTTGGTTGACCCAGCACTTTAGACTTGACTAAATTGGGATAGGATAAATCTACGAGTCAGCCTTTTCTAGGAACCCTAAGATTGTCTTAGCATAGTGTTTCTCAACCTTGGAGGTTTGCAGATGTCTGGACTTCCAACTTCCAGAAGTTGAAGTCCACACATCTTCAAACTGCCAAGACTGAGAAATACTGCCTTAGCATGTTGCATCAACCAAACCATAATGCTCAATCATAAGATGGCGTGGCATAAATATGCGCTTTGTCCCTTGTAAATACGTAGAATACATCCATTACATAGGTTTAGCATCTTGTACATGCCACCAGATATGCCTTAAAGAGACTACTGCTTGCAATTTTCAAGCTCATTTACCCTACAACAATCCCATCAAATGCAACATGGTTTTGGTTGGCTGAATACAGATTTGGTCCTCCCAAGGAATATGATCTAGCCTGTGGAGGTAGTCCTCGACTTATGACCAGAATTGAACCTAAAATTTCTGTTAAGTGAGACATTTGTTAAGAGAGTTTTGTCCTATTTTATTACATTCTTTGCCACAGTTGTTAAGTGAATCACTGCAGTTGTAAGTTAGTAATCTGGTTGTTAAGTGAATCTGGCTTCCCCATTGACTTTGTCATAAAATCGTAAAAGGTGATCACGTGACCTAGGGACATTGCAAAGGTTATAAATATGAACCAGTTGCCAAGCACTTGAATTTTGATTACAAGACTATGGGGATGCTGCAAAAGTTGTAACTGTGAAAAATGATCACGTCACTTTTTTCAGTGCTTTTGTAAACTTTGAACAATCACTAAATGAGCTGTTGTAAATCAAGGACTACCTGTAGTTAGTTTTCTCCATGTTGGTTGAAGAAGTAGTCCCCAAATTTAGAAATTTCTTCCCATGTGCCTGGAAAATTACTGGCTTTTGCTGAGGTCAAAGTATCTTCCTCACACTTCCAGCAATACAAGAACACAGACCCTGTTAACAATGATACTGTTTTCAACTAGTAACGGCTTATATTCCAGGGGTGTTAAAACTGCCGCCGGTGCCCACCCCATTGCCAGCAATGCAAAAAACATATGGAATCATTGTTTAGGAGAATGTGTGAATCCATTAAGTGCCTTTTTTTTTTTTTGCTTTCAAAAGCATCAAAGGGACCTGTAATTGTGGTCCATGGTTCCCAAAAACTTGAGCTAATTCAAAGGACTACAACAAAAGAGCTGGCTTTGCACAACACACAGCCTAAAATGCTCTGGGTTAAAGGATCAGCATGTTGTGCAAATCCAACCAGAAGGTTTGATTGATGGTTCAGGTGTTTTAAGAATTTGTGCAACTGAGCTAATTCAGCAAAGCATCTATTATTGCATTGGGTAAACACAGCCCAGAGCTCAGCAAGGAACTAAAATAGTCAAAACTGGCTACCAAACAAAATTGCTTTAACTCTGAAGCAGAAACATTCCAAACAACAGTTACTTTTTTGGCAAACCAACACTTCCTCTGGATATGTCCAACCATGCTCAAGACAGCCAAAACTTTCCTCTTAAGTTTCTGTGCCTCTATTACAAGAAACACGGTATTTGGTAATACGGTAATAGACAAGGGAAAGAATTCCATCACTCCGGATAGGAAAGATACAAAAGACTGAATTCAGAGCATAACAGGGGAAAAAAATGGTATTGCAATATATATATATATATATAAGAAAAAGGAAAATTGCTAACAGCAATGTTAGGGTCCTTGGAGTCCCCCCCACACACACACACTTTAAATGACATTTTTAAAAATATTAGAAGAGAGAAAGCAGCTCTCTGCCCTTTCACAAACATGCTTATGAGATCCAAGCTATCACAACTTGCATCCAAGAAACATTCTCATGGATTCTTACTCAGTTCCACATCTAACTGCATTATATTACTGGAGCAAGAGAAAAATTAATAAAAACCAAGACAATCAGGCTCAGGTAGCTGGTTCTTCTTCTCCCGTACAGGTTTGGCAAGTTTGAAAAACACGTTTGCAAAAGGAGGTTAAAAAAAAAAACTTGCCATAAAGATCTGCTTTTAAAAATAAGAGGCGCTGCTGCTTTAAGACAGGCCGTCAGATACAAGGGCCAGTCAAGCTGGCGCCAGCCAAATGCAAACTGCATATTATCACCACTTCTTCACCTAAATAGTGGGTTGGGGGGGGGCGTGAAGGAGAAACTCCTTCAAGAAAGAAAGGGGGAAGCTTTCTAAGCACAATTTGAAAATGATCTCAATTGAAAGGGGATAATAACGCCAGGCCAAAAGAGAGGGATTTGCCTACGTGTGTTTTCTCTGCAATTGCCTGAAGAACCAGTGATTTTCACTACCTCCAAAAACCTTTTGTCTCCTTTAGTTAAATCAAGAGATTTCCAATCTTGGCAACTTTTAAGATCTGTGGGCTTCAACTCCCAGAATTCCCCTAGCCTGGAATTCTGGGAATTGAAGTCCATGGGTCTTAGTTGCCAAGGTTGGACACCCTTGTTATAATAAAAAACAAGAGTACAGGTAGTCCTCAACTTACAATTACAATTGAGCCCAAAATTTCTGTGGTTAAGCGAAACAGTTGTTACAAGTGAGTTTTACCCATTTTGTCCTTTCTTGCCACAGTTGTTAAGTGAATCACTGCAGTTCAGTCAGTAATCTGACTTTCCCACTGACTTTCCTTGTCAGAAGGTTGCAAAAGGGGATCATCACATGACCCCGGACACTGCAACCGTCATAAAGAGTCAGCTGACAAGTTAATTTTGATCACGTGACCATGGGGATGCTGCAACAGTTGTAAGTGTGAAAAATGGTCATAAGTCCTTTTTTTCCAATGCCATTGTAACTTTGAACAAAGTTTAAACAAACCATTGTAAGTCAAGGACTACCTGTAATTTTCTGGATACAACTGCCACTTCTGAAAGAAAGCAAGGCAGGAAAGGCCAGCATTTTACAAAAGGGCTTTCTGGGAGTCAATTCTCCAAAGTTTTAAAAAGTTTGGAAAGACAGAGGAAGAAGCAAGGGGGCCCCAGTCTTCATAAAGCCTTAGTGAGTCCACACCTGGAGTAGTGCATCCAGCTTTTGGTTACCACATTACAAAAAACATGTTGAGACTTTGGAAAAAATGCAAAGAAGAGCAACTAAGATGATTAAAGGCCTGGAGACAAAAACATATGAAGAAGGACTGCAGGAATTGGATATGGCTATTCTAGAGAAAAGAAGGACTAGGGGAGATATGATAGCAATACTCCAGTATTTGAGGGGCTGTCACAAAGAGGGAGTCAAGCTATTTTCCAAAGCACCAGAAGGCCAGACAAGTAACAATGGATGGAAACTGATCAAGGGGAGAAGCAACCTGGAATTAAGGAGAAACTTCCTAACAGTGAGGACAATTAACCAGTGGAACAGCTGGTTGTGGTGCTCCAACATTGGAGGTTTTTAAGAAGAGACTGGACAGCCACCTGTCTGAAATGGTATAGGGTCTCCTGCTTGAGCAAGGGGTTGGACTAGAAGACCTCCAAGGTCTCTTCCAGCTCTATTCTGATTCTCTCTTCAATGCCTCCTTTTGAAAAACTGCCAATCCAGGTTAAGAGCTCCTTGCTGCCAAAGCAAAGTATGAAATTGGGCAACCGCCTGCCTCCCCTTCCCCTCCCTCAGATTTAGTCCTGCTCCAGTGAACAGCAGCTATTCTGCTTCAGCCACAGTGCAGGGGATGTTGGTTTGCCTGCTGGAGAGGGGGGCAAAGCTGTTCCCAGGGTGGCCCAAAACAGGAAAAGGGGAAAGCACCTTTTGCAAAAGTTGCATTCTGCTTTCCCCCACACACACCTCCCCCATTTTACTTGCCCCTTCTGCAAGGCACTGCAGAAACTTTCAACTAAGCAAGGAAATAAGAATTTTTTTGTTCAGCCCCCAAGAAAAGAATTTAATTGCACATAAGTAGGAGCTGCAATGCTGTTGGCTTCCGGGTCTTTATTATGGGTCTCCTCTTACCAGCCAGCCTGGAATCTAACAGATCCCATTCCCGCAAAAGTTTCCCCTCACCCTCTCTCAGGGAAATCCTTTGCTTTCTTCCTTTTAATACCAGCCCGATAGAAAAATTAACTCTTTGCTGGCTGGAATCCAGCCATGGCTGCAGTTTCTGATTCTTTTCTATCAGGAATTTGGAAAAGACCATCCTTCAAGTAAAATGCAAATAAAGACAAGCTTTGCTTGGATTTTTGGATTTTGCATAAATCATACTTTGCATTTCAATGGATAGTTCAAAGGCTTAAAATTCATTTAATGCATGGACCCTGCAACAGAGATGATGACTGGAGGATAAAACATATGATGAACAGTTCCAGGAACTGGGTGTGTCTAGTCACAAAGAGAAGGATTATGGGTGACATGATAGCTGTCTTCCAATATTTGAGGGGCTGCCACAAGGAGGAGGGGGTCAAGCTATTCTCCAAAGCACCAGAAGGCAGGACAAGAAGCAATGGATGGAAACTAAGCAAGGAGAGAAGCAACCTGGAATAAAGGAGAAACTTCTTGAAGTGAGAACAATTAACCAGTGGAATGGCTTCCCTCCAGAAATTGTGGGTGCTCCAACACTGAAAGCTTTTAAGAAGAGACTGGACAGCCACTTGTCTGAAATGGTATAGAGCCTCCTGCTTGAGCAGGGGGTTGGACTAGAAGACCTCCGAGGTCCCTTTCAACCCGATTATTCTGTTAAAGAGTTGGCCAGCAAAGTTCATCAGAGAGCTTTCTTTATCACACTTCAGCCACCAGGTTTCACCAGTTTTAAAGTCTGTGGATTGTGCAAAAGGAGAGAGGTGGGGGTGGCCACCCAAAGGGCACCGAGTCAGAGACACAGGAGCCAGACCAGCTGGACCAGTGAGGAGGGATCCTAGCAATTGTGGTTCGGCAACATCTGCAAGGCCCCAAGTTGTTGTTCCTCATGTAAAGTATTGTCTGCAGCCAGACTGGGACTGAATGGAATTCCCCCCTCAGCTATTAAGACCTTTTAGCATAAACTGTGTGTGCTTGGTCCTGTACAAAATAATGCCATGTCAAAATTCTTGACAAAAGCAGAATTTTGATGAATTCAGAAGCAAAATCCAGAACAAAAAGATGAGGTGGAGGGAAACGTTATTTCCCTATTTGGGGAGAGCTAGAACAGAACTACATATTCCTTATTCCTAATCATTTTGGGGAGGGGGGGGTTAGGCAGTTTGCAGGCTCCAAATATTTATCTAAACATGTTGACAGTGTTGCTTTAATAGCCAGAAACAGCAAATGAGAAAGCAAATCAGATTCTGCCCTACTTCAGATAAAAAATCTGCAGGATGAAATCTCCATCCAAATCACTCCCTGAGCTGACACGGGACAGAAATAAATTCCATTCACTGTAGAACTTTTCAGATGGTAGGTACCAATAACGCCACCTTCCTTCCTTCCTTCCTCCCTCCCTCCCTCGCTATTCCATCTTCCTCTCTCTCTTCTTCTCCCTCCCTCTTTGCTTTAGATACTGGCAACATTCAGGTACCCCTTCAAGCCATGAGACCCGCAGCCACAATTTCCAAACCAAAGAATCTCTAAAACACAACAGGCCTTGTTTGGGAATTACTCAAAGGCTGATCAAGATTTAACTGTTGTGTGTAAAACTAGCTGCAGCAATGCCCAAAGTTTAGCCAGACATTGGATTCTTAAAGAGCTCTGAAAGAATCAAGACTGATTCAGTTTCAAGAAAACCATAAAACCAAGAGGAGATCAAATATAAATATAAATAAATATAAATCCATGTCATATGGGGAATGAATAGTTTGAGATCAGAGATTTCTAACTTTCATGGGGGAGATTTAAGATGCACTCCAGAAACTCATCAAGGCTAGATAAAATTATTTTTTGCAATTATGTCTCATTACATTGAGCAATTTTCTTATGTCTCATTAAAAATTGCAATTGGATGGCAACTTCAGGAGAGATGCAGACTGCACAGACTTCTTAGGACTTAGGGCCTTCGTGTTCTTCAGGTTGTTGGTCCCAGATGTGGGGGATGATTTCTTTAACATGACACAAACTGGTGCTTGATTCCATCTTAAAGTATTCAGGCAAACATTACCCAGTCTTAGTAGTAAAGCACAGCCAAAGAGTCAAACTAGCAATTATTGGAGGAAGATCATTTCTGTACTAGTGACTTCAGAGCATCTTCTGGAGCAGTGTTTCTCAACTTTGGTCAGCTGAGTAATTCTGGGAGTTGAAGTCCACCCATCTTAAAGTGGCCAAGGGTGAAAAACGCTGCTCTGAAGTCATCCAAACTTCATTGTGGACAGGCTTTGTATCACCAACAGTGGCTGGGTGATGCTATGAAGATGCTGTCAGTTGCTGGGGTGATAATGGCCTAGGACAGTGTTTCTCAACCTTGGCAACTTGAAGGTGGGTGGACTTCAACTCCCAGAATTCCCTAGCCAGCTATGGACACGGAAACCCAGGTAGATGACTTGGGGCCAATCTTATTATTTTCCTTTAATCTGTCTCACAAAGACTGTTGTTGGGGGAAATAAAATTAGTGAAGACCCATGTGCCTCCTTGTGAGTGCTCAGGAAAAGGCAGGACATAAATTCAGTGAATGAATAAAACCAAACAGCTGCCACAAGTAGCATCATGACTAAGGACTCAGTTTGGATTATGCATGTTCGTTCTTGATTTCTCAAGAATTGGGTGACTCTCAGGCTGTTGAAAGCCCTGAGAGAGCACTGCAGGTTTGGGAGTTGGGGTTTTAAAATTCTCTAGATACGGAATTTTCCAAACATCCAAATCATGGCTTCATTTTAGGATCAAGCCATGACATGGCTTCCTAATCCATTCCTTTTCAAGGCTAAGTTCAAAGGGTGAACTGGGTCTTGGTTTATTTACAGATTTGATTTATATGGTTGCCCATCTCACTTACAAGAATCCAATACAAATGTTGAAAAAGAATATATAAACATATAAAATATAATTATTCAACAAACCCCACTTAAAAGAAACCATGGTACAAGTAACCCTTAACTTACGACAATTGAGCCCAAAATCTCTGTTGCTAAGTGAGATAGTTAAGTGAATTTTGTCCCATTTTATGACCTTTCTTGCCACAGTTGTTAAGTGAATCACCGCTGTTGTTAAGTTAGTAACACGGTTGTTAAGTGAATCTGGTTTCCCCATTGACTTTGCTTGTCAGAAGGTCGCAAAAGGGAATCACGTGACCCCAGGACACTGCAAGCATCTGAATTTTGATCCCATGACCATGGGGATGCTGCAAAGGTCGTAAGTGTGAAAACCAGTCCTAAGTCACTTTTCTCAGTGACATAACTTTGGTCATTAAACGAACTGTTGGAAGTTGAGGGCTACCTGTATAATGCAGCCTATAGTACCCATAGATGAGAGTAAACAAACGTTGTGGGGCTGAACGCTTCCAGCATGGTTGGTGTTTACAAAGGAGAAGTTCTCTGCCTGGAGGGAAGGATGGAAGTTTCTACCAGCAATGTAGTTCAGCCATTCAAGGAGCTACCAGATGCTCCAGTTCTCAAGTGGAGAATCTCCATGTATGAAAAAATCTTGGTTCAGTGCAAAACTGAGCTACGGACTCAGACAATAGGCAAACGTTTTCTGAAGGCACGTGGCAAACAGCATTTGCCTCTGAAGAGCCTCTTTTAAGGGAATCTGAGATGATGGAAGAATAGAAGGTCACCTCCTTGCTCGGGGCATCTCGGAGTCTTCACCGGAGATTTCCAAAACTACCATTCTTGAATGGCACTTGCCAGAAACCACAAGTTCTAATTTACACCGGGTGGGCAAAGTAAATTTAAGCTAACATTTCCAGCTGAAGAAAGTACAGTAGAGGAAGTTGCCAAGGTCCTGAAGCTCAGGTCTTCTTGGAAGAATCCTCAGAAGAGCATTCTGCAAATGCTTTTAGGTGATTAAGACACACAAGGACCTCAAGAGGCACTTCATGAAGTTTCAGAACACAATTAAATCCTTTCCTGGTCAGGTGACGTCTCCTTATCAAGGGCTTGGGCCGAGTTCCAGGAAGAAGAGATGGCATCTCGTCTCCTCCAGAGATGGAAATCAGATTGTGGCAAAATCCATTCCCCCCACCCCCCCCATGCACTTGGGGGCCCCTCAAGGCAGAGCTGCAGAATCCTTCCCCTGTCCAGACCTGTTGGGGTCAGCATTCCCAGAGTGGGTGGGTGGGGCTAGAGGCAAGAGAAGTGGGGCTACAGAGGGGTCTCTCCTCCTTGTTCAGAGTGCAAGAGGAGGTGAGGGAGACATTTGCCTCCAGACCACCCCCTCCCCTCCCTACGGTGAGCTCCCCCCCTCTCTTTTGGAGCCAGCCCAGAGCCAAAAGGAGATTGATTTTAAATGGTACAAGTAATTTGGGGGGGGGGGATCGTGGCCCAATAGAATCCAGACTGGCCCATCAGCACCTCCATCTCCAGAGGCTTCCCTGCCACGACCTGCATTTCCTCGAGTGACTTTTATGGGAGTCACAAGTTTTTCGGTGCCAGCCTGGAAGGGCTCTGACACCCATTCGAGCAGATTCGCTGGCTAAGATCAGGCCGAATCGGCCGGCTTTCTCCAGCCTGCACCACACAACGCCCTTCTGTCGGGAAAGCCGGTCGCTGCTCCCAACAAGATTTGTTTAGTCTGGACAGGCTGCATCACAAGTACACACTAAGCAATCCCGACCCACAACCCTAGCCCAAGGGCCCGGCACTATCATTCTCATCAGCGAGGGCAGCAGCCAGGCCGAGGGGACAGCGCGACCAGTCCAGGGACCCCGCTGCGTTGGGGAAGGCAGTCCCCGACCCTCCAGGCAGGGGATCAGCCGGGCGCTCCCTCCCCGCCGGCCCCGCGCAGGAAGGCGCCTTACCTGGCCCGCACAGCCGGCTGAAGTGGTAGGGGTTGCAGCAGACGGTGGGCCCGTCGGGGAGGCCGAAGCTCCGGCACTCGCACAGCGGCTTCAGCTCGGCGGGGCACTGGAGGTCCGGCCAGCGGAAGAGTTTGCCCAGGAGCAGCTGCGGCGGGGCCGCCTGACCGGCGAGCCGCACCTCCATCTCGGCCCGGGGGACCAGGACGCAGCCGCTGGGCATCCCTCCGCGGGACTCTACGGCCTCCAGTAGGCTGTCCAGGGAGCGCTCCTTGAGGCGCTTCAAGAGCGCGTAGGCGACGGCCTTCAGCTCCTGCTCCAGCAGCGCCAGCCTGGAGCGCCCTTCGCTGCAGGAGGCGCCGTCCACGCCCCGCTCCTTGAAGAGGCAGCAGCCCACCGTCTGGCCGTCGCTCTCCTGCGCCCACCAGCCGGCCTCCTTCGGGCCTCCGCCCTCGGCCTCCTGCGCCGCCGCCGCCGCCGCCTCTCCCGCCTCCTCCAGAAGGTCGCCGTCTCCGCGCACCATGGACCGCTCCGGAGCGCCCGGCTCCTCGATGGCGCCTCCGCAGGTCACCGGGCGCCTCCCCTCGCGCCCTCCAGGCTCATCGGTCTTCCCGAGGCTGCCGCTGCCCGCATGTCCTCCTCCCAGTCCTCCGCCTCCGCCGCCGCCTCCGTCGGGGAGGACCCGGCTTCTCCAAAGTCGCCGCACAAGCCCTGCCCGTTTGGACCTGAACATGCGCTTCGCCCGGGCTGCCCTTCGCTGACTCCGGGTCAGACCCTGCCGGATGGGCGCCGCATGAAGGAGCGCTAGCGAGGGCGGCTGCGGCTGCTGCTACCGCCGCGGCGTCGGCGGCCTCGGCGCCCGGAGCAAGGGCTCGCACAGCCGGCCCAGCCAATCGCCCAGGGTCGGCAGCCGCGCTGCCGCATCAGGAAGCGCAGCAACGGCATAGAGCGCAGCCCCGCAGGCCGACGGCGCGGGAGGGGCAGCCAAAGCGCCCGCCGGTCGGAGCCGCCGCCACCGCCCGCCCCCTCGGCTCTCTCTGCACGAAGGCGCCGCGGCCGAGACGGCTCCTTCCCGGAGGCACCGCAGTCGGGAGGGCCGGCAACTTCCAAGCGGCGTCGGCGCTCCCGTTCGTCTCCCTCGACGGCGGGCTCTTCCTCGGCCGGACCTCTTACAAAGTTGCCCGAACTTGACCAGGGAGCAGCAGGCCGCCTCTCGGGCTCGGTCGCGGGCCGGCACAGCCCGGCATAGCCCGGCCGGACGCAGCGATCCCCGTCCCGGGGCGAGCGGGCGAGCCGGGCGGAGCGGCGCCGCAGGGGTTCCCGTCCGCGCGCGGAGTCGAGCCCGGCGGGGCGGCGGCGTTTTCCGCGGGCGCCGGGCTGGGCGACGGGGCTTCCCCGGACGAGTGAGCGGGAGAGGCTGGCGAGCGCGGCGCCGAGCCTGCCCGTCCTCCCTCGCGTTGCTGGCTTTTTTGTTCTCCTGCACGGAGCGCTCGGGGCCCCCTCGGCGAGCGCGGAGTCATTGGCTCCCTCCCATCATGTGCCAGTCTAGACACTTTGGCGGCGCGGGCGGGTTGCGCAAACAGGCGCTCGAGTTTCTTCCCTCTTAAAGGAAAACGCCTCCAGCCGCCGCCGCCGCCCGCCGCCCCCCGCCCCGCCCCTCCGCTTTGGTCCTCCGGCCCCGGGGAGGGAGGCCAGTGGAGCCAGAATGATAGACTCGGAAGGGACCTCGGAGATCTTCTAGTCCAGCCCCCTGCTCAAGCAGGAGACCCTATTCCATTCCGGACAAATGGCTGTCCACTCTCTGCTTGGAAAACTTCCAGCGATGGAGCACCCAACATTTCTGAAGGCGACCCACTCCACTGATCGTTCTTACTGTCAGAAAAGTTCTTCCTAGTTCTAAGTTGGATCTCTCCTTGATTAGTTTCCATTCGTTGCTTCTTGTGCTGCTTTCTGGTGCTCTGCGGGGCTTCCTCGGAGCGCCTGCACGGTCCTGAGTTCTGGGGGGACTGGAGGGGCAACCGGGGAGGTCGAGGCAGGAACCCGAGGATCCCCTTTCGTTCGGCTCCTTGTCTCTGGCCTTTCTCCCCCCACCCCCCGAGGTCCCGGGGATTCAGTTAGGGGTCCCCTCCTTTGATGCTTACAACAATCCTGCAAGGAAGATCAGGCTGGAACAAAATGACACTTAGCTTTTTTAGCTATCAACTGCGCTGATACAACGTGGTTGTTACTGGGGTGGGGGACCACCAGGAAATCCCGGGGCTGCAGCCTAGACAATAGAGTTGAATTTTTTTTCTAGAAGGGGGCAAGTAGAGAATGGGTGATGACATTATGGGGGACCTCACTCAGGATGGGATAAAACTTTATTTCTACTTTTGAAGCAGGAGCAAGGGCATACCCCATGGCCCCAAATGAAACCCACTGTATTCATGTATAATATTCATTTGGGCAAATTTTAATGTTGGTTAATTTCTGGCTTAGCACATAGCATGAATCCAACCCATTTAATCAGTTTTCTGTATTGTGCAACCTTTTAGGATTCATTGAGCAACAAGTTAAACCTGCAAACAACAGAAATTGGGAGTTTTTCTTTTGTTTGGACAGAGCTACAAGGGGGGAAGGCAAAGAAATGATATTGGAGTAAGGGGAGACTTGGGAGAAAAATTGCTGTTCATCTCTGGAATGTTGCATGATACATAACAGAATCTGCAACATATATCCTGTTCATAAATATAATTAACTGCTATTTATCATTCTACCTTCATTTGGGTTTCATTGTGCATACAAGAATTTACAATGTCGTAAGCCAGTCTTTTTCAAACTTGACAACTTTATGATGTGTAGACTTCAGCTCCCAGAATTTCCTGGCCAACTTCTTTAAAGTTGCCATATTTTTTAAACAAAAATTGTTCCCCTCCCCAACTTTAATCTCACAGCAGTCCTGCCAGGTAGGAAAAGCTGAAAGGTAAAAACAACAAAGGAGACCCCATTCGCTCTAGAGTTTAGGGTTAGGCCTGTTTAAGACCTCTGCCAGTTTTCCCCAACCAGATGCCTCCCTAACATGCCGAAACTTCTTCCAGTGAGAAGCATGAGCAAGGAACGTTCAAGTTTTAATCTAGAGGGACTTGTGGTTTTTTTTCCTTGAGAAAAAGAAGACATTTCGCAGATTCAGTTGTTAAGTGAATCTGCCTTCCCCGTTGACTTGCTTGTCAGAAGGTCGCAAAAGGGAATCACATGACCCGGGACACTGCAACCGTTGTATGTATGAGCCAGTTGCCAAGTGTCCGAATTTTGATCACATGACCATGGGAGTACTGCAGTGATTGTGTGAAAAACAGTCAGAAATCACTTTTTTCAGTGCCATTGTAACTTCAAACAGTCACTAAATGAACAGTTGTACATTGAGGATTACCTGTACAGTTGCTTGGTTTTAAAGGAGGGAGATATGTAATCTTGGGCTCCCCTGACTGAAGGAGTCTTCTGTTCTGCAAAAGATCCCACAATCTCTTGGAAATTCTGATCCTCCCATCCTGATTGTTCACCACCCCCTCCCCCCAAAGCAGGCACAGCCTATAATCTGCAGACACTCCTTCCTCTGTTCCAGCTCAGAAAGCCAGGCTTGCTGTTTTTTTTATAGCCTCTATAACACCTCATTACAAACTGTGCACTGTCAACAAAGGTGGTGACACCAGGCCTGACTTAATAAGGAAGCAACAGCTCAGAAGCTTCTGACCTTGGAAAGCAGGGCTGAAAGGGCCCTCCAGCTTCCCACAGGCTGGAATATAGGGATACAGATTTTAAAATAACCTAACATGCAAATTTGGGATCTTGTGTGGTTTGGGAGTTGTTCTCTTTGTGGAATAGTGTGTTTAAGTGTCTCTCTGTGTGCATCTGTATGTTTAAAAGTCTCATTGTATTTGGATGTAAACTCAGGTCTAACCTTATTTGGTTCCCAAATTACAGAGAAGTATCAAGTCACTTTACTGGGACTAAATTATCTTGAACCCTAAAAAAATACAGTGCTGTAATACAAACATCTAATCCTGACAAATACTTATTTGTTAACCAGGTCTACTTTACCATGATTTTGCAAGCAACCACAATTGATTAGGTTCACACAGTAGGGTAAACAAAAACCAAATGTTTAATGCAGTGTGCGAAACTGACTATAAATACTGTAAGATGTGCACCTTGTACTAAGATGTACTTTGTTTAACCATGAACTGCTGTGTCAGTTGTAAACAGGCACAATTCATACATGCACTAATTGTGCAAAGCTAAAACCAAACAAACCGCACTAGAACTTAATGGGGTGGTAAATCATAGAATCCTAGGGCTGAAAGGGATGTTGGAGGTCTTCTAGTCCAGCCCCCTGCCCACTGCACATATACCTTGCCAGCCCAATGACTGTCCAATCTTTTCCTCCAAGAACAAAATGTTTGATTTTTTCCCCCCAGATTCTCCCCCATTATTTATTATATGTAAGTATAGAATAAACCAGGAGATTCAAAGAGGTTTTGGCAAGGAAGTTTAATAGGAACACATAGTCCTTGACTAAAAACAATTCATTTAACGACCTTCAAAGTTACAACAATACTGAAAAGACTGACTTAAATCCGGTCCTTGCACTAATGACCATCACATCATTCCCATAGTCCTGTGATCAAACTTAGGATGCTTGGCAACTGGCATGTATTTATGATGGTTGCACTGTCCTGGGTCATGTGATCACCATTGGCAACCTTCCCAGCCAGCTTCCAACAAGCAAAGTCAACAGAGGAAGCTGGATTTGTTTAACAACTTCAATAATTTGCTTAAAACCCATGGCAAAAAGGTCATAAAATTGGAGATGATAACTCACTTAACAACCATCTTGCCTAGCAACGGAATTCTGGTCCCAATTGTGCTCATAAGTCGAGGACTACCTGTAAGTGGCTTTCTTGCAGTTAATGCCAGCAAAACTCAGATTTTAATTGGTGGCTTTTGGAGAGGTGCTGTGAAACGTGAGGGCAGTGTTTCTCAACCTCTCAACTTTGAGATGTGAGGATTGGGAATTGAGATGCCGGCTGGGGAATTCTGGGAATCATAATCTTCACATCTTCAGTTTCACTAAGGTTGAGAAACACTGCCAGAGGGACCTTGATCTGGTCATTCTTGAAATGTTCCCTCCTTGGCCAGACTTAACTGGTCTGCTCAAGTGTAGTTCTTAGACAGGAGGACTGAGGTGAGCAGGCTGGCTTGGGAAATCAAAAGAATAAAGAAACGCCAGTCTCAAATAGCTTCTGTGTGGTTGCATTAAAACCTCCGGGGGTAGGGGGTAGGAAGAGAAGCCAACTGAACATAAAGGAGAATGTTTGTTTGAAAAAGGGAAACATTTCCCTATTTCAGTGTTTCTCAGCCTTGGCAACTTTAAAACTTTGTGGACTTCAAGTCCCAGAATTCCCCAGCCGGCATAGTTGGCTGGGGAATTCTGGGAGCTGAAGTCCACACATCTTCAAGTGGCCAAAGTTGAGAAAACTGTGACCTAGCTTATTGAACTATTGTTCTTTTTGCAAACTTGAAAGTATGGGATTGGGCAGACCCCTAACACTTGATCCCCTATTTCACCCCTTGCAGAATTCAAACGTGAAACGTTTTAACGGTATTTTGTAGGGCCTCAGGGAAGCCGCCTTGAGCTTTCTTAGGAAAAGCGAGGTATAAATTCTGCAAATGAAAAAAATTATCCGGCGCGCCAAG